TGCACGATAAATACAAAGAAATAAACTCTTTACATTCTCCAAACAAAGATTATAAAGCTATTACAGCTTTATCACACTTTTCTCTTTGGCATCTATGTCCTCAAACAGAACATTTTGTTTCTGGGAGCACAAAACTATTGAAGGAGAAAGGACTTGAAAGTCTGGGAGACCTTGCTTTAATTCCCAGTTTAGCTGTCTTTTCTCATGCAAGTTACTGAACCTCTCTGTCTCCGTCCCTCTTGTAAAATGAGCATGATAACTACTTTGCAGGAGAGTTGTAAAGATGAAAGATCTATAAGGAGCCTGTCCCATACCACAGCAGATGTAACACAGTAGTTGCTGCTCAATTAATTTTCCTCTTCCTTTCCCAAGTGACTGGTTCAGAAACCACGTGCATCTTGAACTGAACTCCTAGCTGCAAACGATTCAAAGTGAAAAAACATTGTAGCTGATTCATAGTCTAAAATCTGAAATGGATCTTTAAAAGCCCCTAGTATCTCAATGATTTGAAACAACAGTATTTCAGTAGGTCCAATAAAATTATCTTAGAATTTGTTGTATTTTATGACCCAATTAGCTTCACCTTTAAATGTATATACAAGTTTAAAATCAAGATGCTGGTAGAATAAAAATATAACTGAAACACTGAATGCAGGTATTTAATGTAACCAAAAACCTGGCAGTACCATGAAGTCAGCAAAGTAAACACTGGAAAGAGATAGCTGGCCTTGTTGACTCCGTTAAACACGTCAAAGAACTGCATCTAAAAATATTTGAAAAATCTGCTTATTTTCCATCTGTTATATTTCTCAGAGGAGAACTGCAAGTTCATGTGAAAGTTCACTGTAAGTTCAAATATGTCATATCAGGTCATTTACAGGGTAAGAGTTCACTGGGAGTTTATTATTATTTTTTAAAGACCGAAGTGGAAAAAGAATAAACATACTAATTGCAGCTATGTTATTTTGCATTATGATCACTGCATTTTTGAGCTTCATAAATTAAAATTATAAATTCTAAAAGGCCATGTGCAAAGCATAATGGCAACAACAGGACTTACAAGGAAGATGCCTAAGACAGTTGTCATATTTTACATTGTACGGAGTAATTTGTTTAAAATACATATTTAAAAATAGTAATATAGAGATACAGAAAAAAAGAGAGAAGCACCAGAGATAATAAATGAATGTCATCTCATTATTTAGCTGAATAGAGATGATCTTTAATTCGCAATTGCTGAGAATGCTATTTGAGGAACACCACAGGAAACCAGAGAAGTATGTTTCATTTGGAACAAAATTACTAAGTCATTGAAAAAAATCTAAATCGAACAGCTATTAGTCAATATTATTTGAATTACTACACAACACTGTACCTCAATAAAAAAAAGTTTTTTAATAAATCTTTGGGTAAAATCTTCACATTTTTTAGAATGTTTAGAACAATAATTTTCAAGGAAAATAACAGTGAATGTGTATTAAAATTCAGGACATAACTTCTGGGTTCACAGATTAAAAACACTTTCTTTCTATAAAGTACTGGTAATCAGAGTTCAGCAAAGGATTCTAAATGGATTGAGTAAGGGTGCAGCCCATTGATTCTCAGTTTCTCCTGTCAAATGCATGGCCTCAGCTTCACAATAGAACTTTAAATCTATAACTTGCTTCTTAAATTGAAAAGCGTATCACAGGGAGGGTATAGCTCAGTGTAGCATGTGCCTAGCATGCATGAGGTCCTGGGTTTGATCCCCAGTACCTCCATTAAACAAACAAACAAACAAATACCTAATTGCCTCACCCGCCAAAAATTAAACATTTTAAAAAAATTATAAAAAAAGAAAAACACACCTGTTTCTCTCCAGAATGACTATATTCTCTTCATGATATATTGTCAATTGGTTTCAAGGGATCATAGTATTTATTAATTCAGTCACTCAATACATGTGAATTCAGTACTTGCTATTTATAAGATGTTATGCTAAGGATTATAAATGACACAGAAATTAACTGGACAAAAGTTTCATTTTCAAGAAGCCTACAACCCAGTAGAAGAAATATGAAATAAAAAGAATACATAAATAAGTAAATAACACAGTGTTGAAATCATTTAGGGCTATTTGAGAGATGTCGGTGAATGATTGAGAAGTGCTTAGAAGACACTGTTTCCAGTCAGCAGGATAATCTTGGAGTTTATTACTAGCTGAATCCCTAATTAAGACGCTATTTTCTTATGTCAAATTGTTAAACATGAATTAAGAGCAAACTTATAAAAAAAAATCTCTTTACCACTTCATTCCAACAACTTTGTAACACATGCCATTGATCACATCACAGAACTGTCAAGTTATTTCTACACTTTGCTTTGAAAAGATGGTCCTGGAGTTGGAAACAATTATACTTTTGTTTGTTAAAAATTTCTAGAAAGAGATAGAGAGAGAATACAACATTTAAAAACAAAACCCTTTTAGTCACTGACCTGGAATTTCAGTAATAGAGACTTGAGAAAAGTCACAAGTTACATCAGGTACCAGGCAATGTTGCGGGTCACCAATTTCATACAATAGCTCTTCAGCCGCTGCACCAGAGACTAATCCCCGTGTCGGGGCTCAGATAGGATGAGCTGTCCGTCAGGGAAACATTGTAGTATGGGAAATCCTGCGCTGTGCCTAGGCGAAGAACAGGGAAGTCTATGGTTTAGAGATGTCAGGGGGAAAATCCAAGGGAAAGAGACTGCATTATACCAAATGATACTTCTGATGAATGACAATTATCCAGAACTCACTGCGCATTTCGTATACTCTATTTTTATATTTAATTTTATACCTTTTAAAATCACACAATGATTTATTAATATGTGATAAGTACTAAATACAGATGATATCTGGGGGCCAAAGAGAAAGAAATCGTATTGAGAGGAATGGATGAATATTTAGTATAGAAATTCAGAGACTGTTTTTCAAAAGGCTTGGAAATGGTGTCCGGGTCCCCTTGATGTGAGAGTGATGAGAACCCCAGCTGACGGAACATGACAGTCCGGGATAAGAAGTCAGAGAGAGTGGGCCTGCAGGAGCTGTGATGGCTAAAAGCACCTACACACTGTGAGAATCCTGCCCAACTGTAAGGACCCTGTGGGGCCTTCCAGGGTCAGACCCCTCCCCCACATCCTCTGCTGCAGCTCCTCTCTGAAGTACCCAGATAACAGTAACTCATGTGTATCTTCTGAGCTTTTCAGATGTTAAAAACCACCACCAAATGGTAGAAATTAACTACTTGATGATCGAGAGCTCGTGGCCCCCAGACCTTCTGGTGCCCAGGTTTGGACAGTGTTGACCGCCCTGTTCCCTCCACATCAACCAATCAGAGGATTGTGCATGAGCTGATCACGTACCCTGTGACCCCCCACTCCCTTACCTGGCTTTTAAATATACTTCGCTGAAGCCCTTCAAGGAGTTTGGGGTTTTCTTGGGCGTGAGCTGCCCTGTCCTCCTTGCTCAGCCCTGCACTAAACCCTTCTCTACTCCAAACTCCGACGTTCTGGTTTGGCCTCTCTGTGCGTCAGGCACATGAACTTGTGTTCAGTAACAATCAGATTTCTCCGGTCAGGAAGCCTCACTCCATTGGTGACCAGCTGAGTTTCTCCTCCCTCCTCTTACTGCTTATTATAAATCCAAGCAGATGAGACTTGGGCCACAGCTTTCAAAGAGCCTTTAATTTATAAAATTGACCTTTTGTTCACTAAGAAATATAAGATAGTTTAAAAAAAAGAAAAAGAAAAAGGAGAAATAGAGGGTAACTTAGAGATGTCGCCTTTAACCCTAGTTTGGTGCTAAAATGGCCATTTAGTAAAGTTCAATATTAAACACGATCTTTTTGAGTAATAAGGAAAAGACTCCTCTTTGATTCTGGGAGAAAAAAGAGCATTTCATTATGGTAGAGCATAATATAACCTTAGAAGTCAAAGTGACAAGGTCATAAATACAAAAATAATGAAAGCTAATGCACTTTATTTCAGTATTTCTAAAACGTACTGAAGGACAATAAAATAAGCTTGCTTTAAAAACAAGATCTTTTGATGGAAAACAAACCACCTTCTCAGATGGAAATGTTAGGTAGTTAGATAAGTGGGGGCACCGGGCAGATAAGGTGGAGGAGCGGGAGGAGGGTCCTGAAGATGGTGTTATGCCTGCCTTTAGCTTAAAGGGGCTTCACTTCCTCTAAATGAGCGCCAGCAAGAAACTGATGGCTGCAACTGCATGGTAGCGACAAGGACCTAACCAGACATGACCCAATGCTCACTGAAATATAATTAGCATTATGGTTTAGGCTTCCCACCCTCATAGTTTTTTCTGTGTGCATCACGGGTAAGGACATGCACAAAGGGGACGAACATGACTAAGCACTTCAGGGGCAAGAGCTGTCAATCAATCAAGAGACCCCCTCTAGGCAAAGGGATAAGAGAAGGGGGCAAAGACCATTGCTACCCTCCCTTGGATCAGCCTGCCTGCTGTTCTTGGAGGTGCAATTTTGCGCCACTAATTGAATCTTTAAATTCTTTTCACTACACGACACTTATGTCTCCCGTCTGAATTCTTATCTTTCAGGCAAGACAAAAACCAAGGTTTTTTTTTTTTTCTTCCCCTTTTGGGGTAACAGAAAGACATTATAATGTCAGTTCTACCAAATTTATACACTCAAAAGAAAACCAACGGGAATCATCTTCTTTAGATAAAAGAACACTGAGTTTCACGTGGAAGAATAAATGCCAGAGAACAGCAAAACACTTTTTTAAAAGGTGAGGGCAGTGAGGAAGGACTTGGCTCATCAGATTGTAGAACGTGTTATCTTGTACCCATATGAAACTGTTGCTATATGCATTTGCAGCCACATATGATTATCTGAGGATTAATAAAAAGTATGAAAGAATGTATGTTAGAACAGTTAACGTGAGTACATGGGCAGAAGTGGTGCTGATAGCAAGAGAGAGAAAGTGAGTGGGAAAAAGGAATCAAACAAAACATTTTTAAAAGCTGCGTTAAAGAGAGCACGTAGGATAAAACCACATTTACTCACTTATGATAAATATTTTGTTTGTGTGTGTATCTCTAGACCTACCTACCTAGAGAGATAAATGTTTGAACTGTTAGAGAAGAAAGAAGGACAATTCTGAGTAAGAAGGAAGCATGAGAAAATGACTGAGAAATGGCTTGCAGTGCGGGCGGGGGCAGACCACGGGCTGAGCTGTCTTCCTTGACCATTTGATCTCTTGCTCTTTAGCACTCTCTAATCACAGCTTCCCATCTCAGAATACATCTTCTTCCTCCCACTATCTCTGAATTTAAACTCTACTCTCCCATGATCCATCTTTGCCCTTGTCCTCCCTTCCCTGGGCTGCACACTCCACGCCATCCATCCACTCCCGTGGCTTTGACCCTCAGCTCCCACTGAATGCCAAGTAAATCTCTGTGTCTTTTCCTCACATCCCCCCAAGCTATGTTCCATTGCTTATATGTCCCACAGTTATCAAAACCTAAATGAAATGCTGCTTCCACCTCCTGTTACTACCATTTTTGTAACTATCACTAGCATTACCATCACTGCGAAGTGCGGTGGTGTTAGTACCACCATTAGTACTGTCTCCACTGGGTATCCTTTTTTTTACTGTTTACCGTGTGGCAGGCAATGGACTCACTCTTGCCAACAGCAACCCATTTATTGTAATCTTTACAGCAACCCTATAAGTAGGTATCATTATCCATATTTTATACCAGAGGAACTCATACCACCATAATGGAGTGGTGCAACACCCTTGCGGATCAAATCAAAGCATGCCTCTATTCCTGGGTTAATGCAATCTACCTCCTTTGATTAGTCTACAAATATCTGATGAACACTGAAGTGCAAAACAATAAAAGTGATCATTTTACTAAATGCTTACTATATATATATTTTGGTGCTAAGTGCTTTACATTTATTATTTTATTCACTCCCCCTTCCATAATAACCCAATGAAAGCAGACATTACTATTAGCAAATGTTCTTCCAAGTCCCTTATTGTATTGGGGCTTTCCTAAAAACAAGTTTGATGTCTTCTGTACTGAGGGCTCCCAATACCAGTCCATAGCAGGTGCCCCCTCAGTGATCACCCCACTGAGCTGAATGGGTGTAATGATTCAATGATACTTAAAACCAGAAGAATTTATCTTTAAAAAATAATTTTAAAAAGACACCAAGATTTAGTTATAAGGATATCCACTGTAGCTTATTTAAAATAGAAAAGAAAAATTGGGACCAACATATATGTCCACTTAAAGATTGGTCCTATCATCTGTACCATACACTAGTATCATTTACTGCCATTAAAAATGATGATTTGAAAAACATTTAATGATATTCCTGCTCTAAGTACGTAATTTGAAAAATAAAGTTCTTAGTATTCATGGTACTCATGAATCTCATTCTTGGTTGAGATGCATTATGTTAACATTTCCATGTGTATAGTCCGCAGTGTAGTGGTCACCACAAGGAGATGTGATGGACGTCCCCCCACACCCCCTACCATCTGAATTTGGTTCAGATGCAGAGACTGATGATAGTGAGGCTCTCTGGGGAAGCGCGGTCTCCTAGCAGATCTCAATAGCTGGAGAGAGCAAGGAAAACAGACTGGCTTGCACTTTACGGCAATTCAGGGGTCACCACCCCACCCACATCCTTCAGGACACTCAACATTTACTAAGCACCACTGAGGCACAAGGATGCTCACGGGAGCCAGGGACCCAGAGGTGGAGGGAACTTCTGGACGTGCCATTGAGCTGGGGGACCACGAGCCCCAGGAGTGAGGTGAGTGCCGCAGGAATGCAGAGGAGGAGCAGGAGGCAGAATCCCCACTAGACTTCGTAAAAGGTGTGCTTAAGCAGAGGGAGAAATGGATAGAGTGCTTGTGTAAGGTTGTGATCAATGGAACAGCACTGAAACCAACCACAGGCTTTCCACAAAACACGCCTTTGCTACTCCAAAAACTGTTCTCAGCTTCTCAGTCTAAATCCCTTCCAGTTTGCTGTGATCGGGGTCCACTGCGGACAGCCCCGTGACAGACAGCAGGCATTCAGGGGTAGGAAGTGGGATCCTTGGCTCACAAGGAACTCAGCGCACAGGGAGGCAGACGGAGCCTCCCCTCACATTCCCCTCGTGGATGTGGATGCACTTTCCACTCCTCCGGGGCTGGCACAGATTTTACTCGGCTGTGCCGCCCCACCCCACCTCCCCACCCTGCCTGCAGCACACACCTGTGCCTCAGAGCGCTCTATAAAGCAACTGGCGTTTCAAGTTCACGGAACCCCCACCCTCCCAATCTCTCACAACCGGTGATTTTTCACCCCCATGGGTTAGAGTTGAAATCCTTTTTCTGTGCTGCTGTGGGTTTAGATACACCACCATATCACAGCTACAGTTTTGTCAGAGAATTTTTCTGCATCTTTTACTCTGGGCCTATTGTGTGGTCTGGGAGGTTCAAAACTATGGTGATTGCTGAGAAATTCCTTTCGATACTCCTAAGAGTTTGTGCTGCTACCTGGGCACCCTGGGAGAAAAGCTTTCAAGATGATCAACCCTTTGAAGCAACATGCATCCACCTACACCTGGAAGGAAGGAAGGATAGAAGAGGGAAGGGGAGGGAGGAGTAAAGTGAAAAATGAGAGGGAAGACCTCATCCAAGGCAC